CATGTATTGTCCTGTGACTTCTGAGGAAATGGATAAACTCTTGAGGTTTGTCAACCCAATTACCTATTTCTTGCCTTGCCTTGCCTCCCATGTTTTCTGAAGGCTACTTCAGAGAGGATAGGATATCCTCAGATATCAGAGAGGATATAACTTCAGAGAGGATATCAGATATCAGAGAGGATATCACTTCAGAGAGGATAGTCAATTTGGTGGCATCTACTCCCATGTGTCAAAGTGTGTAGTGCTTCTCCTTGTTAAGATATTGCTAAATCCAACCTCCTTGGAAAATTTCACCCAATTGCCAACCACCTTGTATTATCTGGACTCTTTTCCGTTAGGTTTCAGGTTGAGACATAGAAACTAAGACAGAACTTGATGAGTTCTGGGAAGGCTGGAATAGTGATGCTACAAACAACCTGGCCCTCGTAGGTCAACTGGGTTTTTTGCTAACACCAGTCTGACTATCCTTATGAACCAGCTGCAGGGGTTCATAATGCAGGGGAATGGGGGACACAGTATTATAATGGTACTCCGACTTTCTCTGTGAATGGTTACAGTTGGTATTGATAGGAGAACAGAGGTTGACTTCCAAAGCCCTAATTTTGTGCAGTGGCTCAGGGCTCAATAGTTTTTGCCCTCCTGTTTAACTTCTACTGTGATCATCAGTTGGGCATCAGGTATCATCAGCATATAGATAGTACCCAGTTATAAAGCTCAACCACTAGCAAACCAAGCAATGCTGTAAAAACTTCTCCAAGTGCATGGGGAGCTGTTGACATATGGATGAGGATGAACAGGGTTGAGCTCAATCCTAACAAGTCTGGTATTTGGTGTTCCTGGTTCTAAGGATTTTTCTTATCTCCTATTATGTGAATTTCACTGGTTGCCAAGTGTCATACTCATCTTCCTTGCCAGCCTTCATTTCTAAAAACTTTGTTATGTCTTTAAGCTTGGGGTTATGCAGGTTGGGCAAGTCCTTTTTTAGTGATGGATGTAGTGATTGTATATTGTGTCTCTTAGCAGTTTCCCTCCATATACCTGTTATTTTTTATGTTTGGTTTTATATTCTTTTATATTTTATTGTGTTTTTCATTTGTAAAGCTGTCCAAAGTTGTCTGGGTGTCCTAGAAATGTGGTAAATACATATTTTCTACCTTCAATTATCCAGTTTGATTAATCCTATAATGATATCTTTCATTTTACTTCCAATAGTTATTTTCTCAGAGGAATTCCTAAGATACAGGTCTTATTCACACCTGCAGCAATTATGCTTAAATATCCTCAATGTCCTACTTTTGAGATTCTTAGATATAGCTGGCCGAGCATTCTTGCATGCTGAAAGTTTGAATATACTATGCTATGTTGATCTTACCCATCTAATGTGCTTACCCGTACAATAATAATTCTTCTAAAATCTATTCATTTTTCAAAGAATCATATAATACTCCATATGTAAAATGTACCTGACTTGAATCAGATTTGATAGACATTTCATAAAGTTAAGATCACAATTCTATATATATTTTTAACAGGGAATTTGTCCATTAACTCTATAAATTTAGTTCCAAATAAACTAGTACAGGACTGCAGTATAAGTAAATCAGTATGCTTTTTCACAAATGACATCATGGATATCATTTTTTAAACATATACGGCTAACCTTTCTCCATTCTCATGCATATATCCACCTGTATTATTTCATATTGCCTCAAATTGTTCTAAACATATTCCTACATAGTACACACCCCACACCCACCCACAAAAAAGAAATCAAATGAAGGAACAGCCTACTTTCAAGTCTGATAAAACATTATAGACAGAATTCAAAATGCAACATAACTCTTCTGAGTGTCTATATTTTGTATGTGTGTAAATATATATAAAATAACAGTATTCTGAATTTAGAACAGGAAAATTCAGAAGCAGTATAATGGAGCTTGCTGTTAAGCAACAGTCTATCCAGTCTGCACTTAAAAATAAATGAGGACACAGTGAATGCATTTAATTAACTTCCAGTAGATACTGATAACCTGAATAATAATGAATTAAGCCAATTCAGTCTTTGCAATCTGATATTCTTCAGCATCACTCGGAGCAATTCCCAGAAACCCCAGCTGCCTCCATTACATCTGAAGGTTATGAAGTAAAGGAGAAGTAGCCAGTCATCAGGCTTACTCTTTGCATTATCTTTTTGCAGCCCTTAGATTCCTCTTTGCACGTTATTGCTAAAACTTGATGGCATACTTTCCTGCCCTTTAAAGGAACAGCTTGCCCTCGGATATTGTGGGAACATCATCAGTTGAGACTTTCAAGAAGAGATTGGACTGCCATTTGTCAGAAATGGTGTAAGGTATCCCGCTTGGGTGAGGGATTGGACTAGATGACCTACAAGATCCCTCCCAACTCTGATTATCTGTTATTGTTATCTGTTATCTGTTAAAGCAGGAAATTGTTGAAAAAGATGGTATAAGCTCCCAAACAGACACATCAAAATTAAAAACCAAATACTTTCTCGCAATTTCTGCTTGAACTCAATCAATCTCACAAACACCCAACTGTAATTTAGCTTTTGGCTGATGCCTGAGAAAAGAGAAATTTGATCTGATGCCAGTGGTGGGATTCAAAATTTTTTACTACTGGTTCTGTGGGCGTGGCTAGGTGGGTGTGGCAGGGGAAGGATACTGTAAAATCTCCAGTGAGAGGTGGTATTTGCCAGTTCTCCGAACTACTCAAAATTTCCACTACCGGTTTTCCAGAACTGGTCAGAACCTGCTGAATACCACCTCTAATCTGATCCCATTTCAGTTAAATAACATCTGCAATATTTCACTGTATTTTGAGTCCTAAATTATGTTCTAGAAATCAGCTTTATTTGTATGATACAAAGCATTTAATTAATGCAGTGCTAGGTTAGTCTACATCGCTCCCTTAGTAAAAGAAGATAATGACTTGTATCATCAAGATTTAAATAGAACTCTGGGACAGTAGGTTTCTTACTATAGTATTTGAAAATAAACATTTTACTATAATAATAGGACAAGTGTTTGAAATGAAAATGAGATAAATGGCATGCTGAAACATATAAAGTAGATAGTGATTTTTCCCTTCATGAAAGTTAAATTATCCTTTATTTTAATTTCTGTACTTTGTATATTTTGTTACTATGCATCGCTCCTCCGTTGCTTAATAGGAAATTAATTTCAGTATCTAACTGTTGATCACTGCATTGTGATATTCCCAGGTATTATACCTACATATCTACAGTATATTTACAGTATAATACCTATACTATCTCTATACCTACCTACCTACCTATCTATATAACTATCTACATATATACACACACACACACACACACACACGCAATTTGGAATCTTATTGAAAAACAATTAAATTTATTATTTACAGTGAGATTCCATCATGTTGAGTAAAATGCTGCTGAATTCTACTTTATGTTAGTAGTAAGATGCTGGAATGGACTTGACAGATGTCAGAATCTCTTAGCATTTCAGTATTCTGGAGTCTTGGCTTGTTGCCTATATTATGCCTCAGGATTGAACGCAACATATGAAAGAGATTAAATCTACCATGTTGAAGAAATGTTTGGAATCCATGATATCCATCAACAGTAAAGAAAACTGCAGATTCTATGTCAAATTCTAAAAGGCTTGAGAGTTTAAAATATTTTCTGCTAAATTTCTAAAGTGGGATTGAATAACTCCGATCATGTCTTCAGTTTGGTCATCTTAATTCACTTGCAGATTTTGGCTATATTGGAAACCTGATATATCCATACCAGAAAGAATTAGCCTTTAAACACTAGCATTTAATTTTGAATTAATATTTTGATATTTTAGAAATCAGAGAGAATTTACACTTCATTTTATTCTCTGTTCTTAGTTATATTTATCATGACACATTATGGGAGATACTAATGTTCCTATGAAGTGATCCTCTTCTGAGAGATAATTGCCCTTTGGGTACATCGTAATTTCTCTTTATATATAAAGAAATATTCCTAGCATAAATGAAAAAAGGACGTCCTACTTTTGTCCTCTGCACAAATAGAACTTCTGTTCATACTGAAACCTGCTTCATGGCACTTGGAATCATCTACATCTCCTGAATTAGATGTCAGTGCTGTAATGATGTGGACTCATGAAAATTTAAGTCTACATCATATTAATGTGGTAGCTGCAGATTGAGATGGATTAAATAAATATAAAGTTTGTTTGGGACTAAATGCATTGTGCATTAGATAAAGTTTTTTCCCCTTCATTATATCATCTTCTAGTATTATGTTTTAAACTGAGGAATCCACTATTTTGAATGACATACAGCCATATATAGTTTCCCTATAATGCAAATTATATCCAGTAATTGTCATGAAAAGTCTGCTTTGGGAGTGATAAATAGGAATGTAGTAAAATGAAACAGGGACAAGGTTTTATAATACATTTCATTTAAAATCTGTTTTTATATTTTTTCTCAGAACTGCATTAAGAAATGAAATGATTTTCTTGAACGTGGGAAGGTTATTTTTCTATGGTAACAAAAAGAACTGTGTTTTTATTGCATTCTCATGCTTCCTGCAGTAATCCTATGTTAAAAAATGATTTTTAAAAGTTAGTATTTTTCACTTTTGTTCCATATACAATGCCTAGTTTGCAACTCTTAAATAATTTTTAGAATCTGTTTTATTTAAGTACGATATTCTCAAGTTATTCCAAAATTGTTATCATTTAGTGGGCAGTGCATTTAAAGTTGTGAAAAATATTCTGTAGGAAAAGTGTTGCAAGTTGTTTCACACTTATGCAATATTTAGTTTTTATAATTATAGTTTTAGACTGCAATCCTGTGATGAGGTTATATTGTACTGGGAAAAGCATTTTTAGTTTTGAGTAGCCATTCATAATTTTTGTTATTAATTACTTAGGTTTCAGTTAGTGAATAAGTTTCAGTAATAGTTAGCTATCAATATTTATTGTCTTATTAACTAGCTCTCCTTACAAGAATAATGAAGTAGAGCAGGACAAATTGCTGGCTAGGGCTGTTCCAGGTTTTTTGAAAGGCAAAGGGTAAGTTTCAAAAAGCATTAGTAGCATATACTAACACAACTAAAGTAAATGCCTTTTCCTTTCAATATATTACGTATTTTACGAAGAGTATAACCATAGATAGTTTTAATTAGCACGCCAGAGGAATGAGGTGTGTTCACATACACACGTTATACAATTTTAATGATTTTCTAATATAATCTCTTAAAATATAATTCTACATTTTGCTGTGTATCTATCCAAACTTCATATTATGTGCTTATCGTAAATAGATAATCTGTTTTTGCAATTCAATAATGTAATATACCGTTCCTAGGACTTTGTCTTTTTAACCTGCATTTGAAGAAATTGTATATTTGTTCCTTCCTAAAAAAAATATTCTCCACTGAAAACCTACCATATCAGTGAGATGATCCACCTTACCTTCTCTCTGGTACACTAGGTTGCCTTATGTAAAGAATATTTTATGGGCACAAGCCTTTTCACATGTAATCTGCATGCTGTTTGAAAGTTTTCATTTCTGGGAACCATTTAACATGACTACTCTGCTTATCAAGATTAGCACTATAGTAAAATATCTGTTATCATTGAAATTGTTTCTGAATATATTTGCTTAGGATTTGCAGAATTTTTGTCAGATTTTTGTTTACATTATGCTTCACAATAGCACTAATCCTAGGCTAGTTTGTGCATGTCCTTGAGTATCATTGTCCTATAAAACTTTGTAGGTGGTCTGTATGTATTATACTAGCAAATTGATACCCTTGCTCTATAGGCCTGCTGTCTTAAGTTCTGTCCTGAGCCCTACCTGCAATGGTTGGGTTTGATAACAAACTGAAGAACATTTGACTGCGCATTTGTAAATTCCCATTTCGCACTCTTACTTGCTCCTGCTTTCTCTGTTTTATTTCTCTTTGTCTGTCCGGACTATACCCTCCTCCCCTCAACCCTGTTTCAGGTTACAGTATAGCCTCGATGTTGCAGACAGGCTGGCTGATGAACATGTTCTCATTGGGTTGTATGTCAACATGCTCCAGAACAACCCCTCACGGTTAGTGCAGGCTGGGTGCCTTGGTGGGGTCTCTAGAGAAGAGGGACACAAGCCTGATCATCCAAGTTATGGCAGAATGGAAATTCCTCAAGAATGGAGCAGATCTGACTTGATTGAACTGGTCTTCTCATTCCATTTTATTACTGTACCACAGCATGCTAAATTTCATAAATAGTTGCCTTGATTAGAATTATTGCCATGAATATTGATTTGCATTCATGCTTATGATGCAATCATTCATGTATTTATAAATATTATATTCAATGGGATTCATTTATCTTAGTAACATACTAATTGGGGTACAAACACCCTATGTGAGACAGTTTAGGAATATTTTAATGTTCTGAGTACCTGAAAAATATTTGGTTGTAGCTCCCAACCCCTACAATATTTGCTGCCAAATTACATCTTTTATTTTTTTAAAAAAATAAGATTTTAAATTTACAAAGGGTAGATTATTAAACAAGGAATAATTATAATTATTGATGAGTATTCAATAATATTAACTGTATTTTACAAATTTAATTTACATTTAAATTTTTATTTCGCCCTAGTACTTACTACTTTACCCTGATCCTACTTTTTTTTTTTAGAATATATCCATTCACGGGGCAACTATAGCTGTCAGGTCAAAAAAGTTTTCAAATTTCTGATCTACAAATAATGCACAGCACACACTTCTTTACATGGGAGTGACTTCTGAGCAAAAAATTAAAACCTCTACTGAAAAAGCTATGTTAAATACAGATTCAACATACAGATGTACTTGGAGAATTGGGGATCAAACTGTTAACAGTAATGTTACTGATAATTGCTTAAATTGTGTTTTTAACGTGCAAGTAATTATTTTCCACTCTTTTTGTTACTTACATTTCACTTTAACCTTGAGAAATAGATGCAATTGTTGATCAGGCATCTAATAAGCCCATGGCTTAGCCAAGATTTCTGCCTATTTTTCTCAATTCTAAAATTATATCAGTTAGATTGTATTGGATTTTCTCTTGACAAAAGTGTGTAAGGGAGTGTTCAGTTATTAAAAGTGAAGAAAATCGACATCGGTCAAAGTGGTAATTCATCATGGTCTCTTTGATTCACACTGTTGATCTATGTGTTTGCATACAGCCATACTGAGACTCTTCTAGAGTTTATAGAATTCATTGGTGGGATCCCTGTCCCTTCACATATTGTGCAAGTAGACATAATCCCAACTTTTCTGTTTTTCAGTTGTCATAACATCAGCAACATCATTTGTCCTTGAACTGATCATCACATTGCTTTATCAAAAAAAAAATTTCATCCTTTCTGGAGCGGGTTTTTTTTTTTTTTAGCTTGCTTAAACTTTTCTCATCTCTTCTTTAAAATACTTTAGAACTGTGCAAGGATATCTTATCCTCTCATCTCATCTGACTTTTGGTTTTACATCCCTAAAGATTCTTTTTCAAACATACCAGTATTGCTAGACCAAAGTATCTCCTTCAGATAGGCATAAACTGACTTTTTTAACTTTGGTAAATCAAGTTGCCTTCCTTCTGGTCGACAAGACCAGTGTCTTACACAAGAATAAGGTGATGCAAAGTCCAGCCCTGTTTTGCATTGTACTTTATAGATTGGGGTTTGGTCACTCCAACTTCATCCTGTGAATCAGTGTGCTTGGAAACAATAATATCCTTTCCTCAACAGCTTAGCCATACAGAACAGCCATAGTGTAAAATGTATCAGTTAGGTATAAGATAAAGGTAAAAAGTTCCTCTTGCACATATGTGCTAGTCGTTTCTAGTCTAGAGGGCGGTGCTCATTTCCGTTACAAAGCCGAAGAGCCAGTGCTGTCCGAAGATGTCTCCATGGTCATGTGGCTGGCATGACTAAACGCCAAAGGTGCATGGAGTGCTGTTACCTTCCCACCAAAGTGGCCCCTATTTTTCTACTTGCACTTTTACATGCTTTCGAACTGCTAGGTTGGCAGAAGCTGGGACAAGTAACAGGAGTTCACTCCGTTACAAGGTGCTAGAGATTCGAACCAACAAACTGCTAACCTTTCTGATCGATAAGCTCAGCGTCTTAGCCACTGAGCCACTGCGTCCCTTCAGTTAGTTAGGTATGGCCATCATCAAATCACCCTGGGGCAAAAAGTCTGTTTGCGGTACAGACCACCAGGAACATAATGGGATCATTTGGCACCATTTTGCCTGGATCAGTATTTATTCCTGGTCTTTCAAGGACATATAAAATATGTAAACATTCTTCCCGAGCATTAGTCCAAGTGAATAGTTGCACTTTGCTATAAGATAACTGAACTTAGAGGACAGGAAGGCCTGGAGGAATGTTGTTCTTGGGGTCATGATGGGTCGGACATGACTTTGTGACAACAACAAAAACAAGCTGAACATCAATGTGTCTTCAAATCTATATTCATTGCTTTTGAGCAGCAGCAACATTTGCAACATTCCTCGAATCTACTTTCCCAGGGGTCAGCCATCCACTCTTGCCCAGCACATTAGATTGATCATCTCTCAATCTTTGGAAGGGTAATACTGTGTTATGGTCATTTTATAAAGATTAGATTTTCAGGGAAGAAATGTGTTTTTCATGCATGACTGTATATCACAGAAAACATGATAAAATGTTTGGATATTTAGCTGTAATTTTCATTTTATAATAAAATAACAAAAAGTTATTGAGAGCATATGAATCTCTCAGGAGCTCTGGAGGAAATGAATTATCTGCACACTATAAAATCTGGATTCTGCCCTGCATAACATGGAAACAAGTCCATAGCAATTGCTCCCATGGAGGATTTCTGGCAAGACTGACATAGGGGAAGGATGACTGCCTTGCTACTGTTTAATTGCTCAGAAGCCTTCATGTTGCACATAGAAACTGTGTGCAAGGGTTGGGGTAGAAGGCAATGCTGTTTGATGGTTCTCTTCTTTCCAAATAATTTCAGGAAGATGGAGAATAATCTTAGCTTTCTTTCTATTGATATGTACATGAAGCTGCAAGAAGGTGAGGGGAGATAATCCATTAGTTTGAAGTCAGAAATCATTAATATGGAATCCTATACCAACTGAATAGGAATGCCCCAGGGTCTAGAACAATGGTGGCTAACCTTTTGGGACTTATGTACCAAAAATTGTGTGCGCGCTTGCACACGCTCGCTCACATGCCAGCACCCAGAAGGCAATGTGCCCCATGCCCCCTATGCATGCGCGTGCAACCCCCCCACTCCGCCTCCTTACCTGCACTGCACCTCACAGCTGATTTTCGGCCAGTTTGAGGCCCTTTTCGGCCTCCCAGAGGCTTGAGGAAGGCTTCTGCAGGCTTTTCAGGACGAAAACTAGGCCCGTCTCGTCACTTCCAGTATTTCCAAAAAAACAGGAAGTGACAAAACGGGCCTAGTTTTCATCCTGAGAAGCCTGCAGAAGCCTTCCTCAAGCCTCTGGGAGGCCGAAAAAGGCCTCAGACCAGCGAAAAATCAGCTGTGAGGCACGCACATGCACAATGAGGTAAGTTTGCTTGAAGCTCACGTGCCGGCACAAATGGCTCTGCGTGCCACCTGTGGCACAAATGCCATAGGTTCTCCATCACGGGTCTAGAAGATGCTATTAGTATCTGGATAGAGACAAACATGATTAGGCTTAATCCCAACAAGTGGTATAGAAACATTGTGATTTCAGATACATTTGATCTTTAATTCTGAATGGGATCATGTTTTGCCAGTCAGAATTGGCCCATAAAATAAGGTCCTTCTATTCTCACAGCTACTGCTTGATGAGAAAGTAGCAGCTGTGAAAGGAGATATTTCCCACAGTGCTATCCTGTGCATCAGGTACCATCTTTCCTCAAGAAGTTATTCCAGATCACTTTAATGCTTTGGTTACCTGTTCTTTGATTACTGCAATACTTTTACGTTGGACTCGCTTTAAAGATGACTTGAAAAACTTCAGCTGGTCCAGAAAAGTGGCTGAGGCAGATGACTATTGATCGGTTCACAGTATAACTGCTCCGAGAATTGCACTATTTACCAATTTGCTTCCTGATGCAATTTAAGGTTTTGGTATTGTCACTGTCATTAGCACTACCAGTATGTAGATTAGGACCTGGGTATCTTTGGAGCCATGTCTTCTCAATGAATTCTCCTCGTCTGTTAAGATCAGGAAGAAAGCACTTTTTCAGGGCGTGTCATCTGCAGAAGCCATGGCGCAAGGCTTCTTCAATTGCTGCTCCCATTTCTGCAACACCATTCATTCAGATATTAGATTGGTTCTTGCGTTTGTGAGTTTGGGACATATGATCTTGTTCCTGTCTGCAGAAGAATTAGCTGCATGTGAATTGTTACTAATGATCCCTGAGATCTTTGGGCTAATATGTTTATTTATTATTTTTAATTAATTGGATTGCTGTATAGAATATGTACCCCATTTAGGAATCTACTATGATTGGAGCCCAGTAAACAGTAAAATAGGCAGACACATTTGTTTATATCTGTATCTATATCTGTATCTTCTATATCTAATTTATATCTCTATATCCATCCATTTATCTTTTCTAAATCGTAATGTGGTCCAATATGTAAACTCTTAATGCGCTGACTTCTTTAAAGAAATGCTATTGGGTGAAAAAAATAGAAATGCATATTCATAGAAATAAAGAGCACAAGAAATTCAGGATTTTGTATATTATGAGGTCCTTTTTTGAATGGACTGAGAAGCATTAAGGTATTAGGATCATCTAAGATGCCAGGAGAAACATTGGCTGCTGTTACATGTTATTAACCAGCAGTTGCTGGTAAGAAGAATTCAGAATCTGAAAGATTTTCAAGTGTGGAGCTCCTTTGCTCATCTTAATCTATTAATATTAATCTATTAATATTAATATTAATGCTCTTCCTGAGACCATCATCTGTGAACTATCCTTAAATATCACAATTCGATTCTTACTATGTTACAGAGCACCTGATTATGACATCGAACATGTAAACAAGCTAAATACATTACTAACATGGGCTGCATCCTGCCCATACCCTTTTATCTTTCTTGGTGATTTCAATCTACCTCATATTGACTGGACCCTAAATGAATGTACAACTGAAATCATACACACAACCTTCTACAATGCTATTACAAATCTGGGACTGGAACAACTAGTAACCAACAACACTAGACTAAACAACTGCCTCGATCTCATCTTCTGCAATAGTTTGAATTTAATTTACGGAATACAAACTAAAGAACCCTTTTCCAGCAGTGACCACAATATGATTGACTTTTGTCTCAACATACGCCCACACAAAAATCACCACAATGATGTAATCCCCAATTGTAACTTCAAAAAAGGCAACTATGATCTTATAGACAACGATCTCTCATCCCTTGATTGGCAATCTCTATTCACTGGATGCAATACTGTTGAAGACCATTACAACATATTTTTACTTGAAGTCAAAAGAGTCATCAAACTATATGTACCAACAACAACTCCCAAAACAAAACAAAAAAGCAGATTACCCATAACAATAAGGAAACTTCAATCCAAAAAGAGATCACTCTGGCGGAAAAACAAATCTGGTCACGTTGCCAATTTCAAAAGCCGATACAAAAATTTATGCCACCAGATAAAGACCGAATGCATCAATTATCACATTAAACAAGAGGAAAACCTTCTAAGCACCAATTCCACCCGTGCTTTTTACAATTTTGTAAACAACAAACTAAAAGACTCAAGGTCTATCCCACCCTTGATAGGACCTGATGGTAAAGACTGCAACGACGACACCACTAAAGCCAACATCTTTAACACATTCTTCAGCTCAGTATTTGTAAACAGCAATGGATCATGCCCAGTATTTCCTAGCCGTACCACAGATAACAACAATGATCTAATACATATCGATTTTACAGAAGACAATGTTGAAAAAGCACTACGCAATCTAAAACCATCTCTATCTATTGGACCTGATGGAATATGTGCCTACTTCTTAAAAAAGCTATCCACTGCCATAGCCAAACCTCTAAGCATAATCTTTGAAAAATCTTTCAGGACCAGCTCCTTGCCTAACCTATGGTCACAAGCCACAGTCATCCCCATCTTCAAAAAGGGAGACCCAAGCCTAGTTGAAAATTACAGACCAATCTCCTTATGCTGCGTCACCTGTAAAGTCATGGAATCAATTATTAACCAATCCATCATCCTCCACTTAGAGACAAACAACCTACTCTCCAATAAACAATTTGGTTTCAGAAAAAAACTATCCTGTAATCTGCAACTCTTACACTGCAAAAACATATGGACGACACAACTCGACCAGGGCAAAGCAATAGACGCAATCTACATAGACTTCTGTAAAGCCTTTGATTCAGTGGTACACGACAAACTACTCCTAAAAATAAAATCCTATGGTATCTCTGGTCAACTGAATAACTGGATAGAAGCATTCCTGGCAAACAGACAACAAATGGTCAAAATTGGGAGCGTCCTACCAAATTCTGTACCTGTCAATAGTGGTGTCCCCCAAGGCAGTGTTCTAGGACCAACTCTCTTCATACTCTACATAAATGACCTCTGTGATCATATTAAGAGCAATTGCGTTCTTTTCGCTGATGATGTAAAGCTGTTCAATACCACAGACAATACTGCTACCCTACAAAAAGATCTTGACTATGTATCAGAATGGTCAAACAAATGGCAACTTCAAATCTCAACAAATAAATGCTCTGTCTTACATATTGGCAAAAAAAATCAGAAAATAAAATACAAGCTGAATAGTCAAGATCTTGTTGATGACCCAAGCTCTGTAAAGGACCTTGGAATACTCACCTCTAATGATCTAAGTGCTAGAGCCCACTGCAACTACATAGCCAAAAAGGCATTAAGAGTTGTTAACCTAATCCTACGAAGCTTTTTCTCTGGTAATATCACACTACTAACCAGAGCATACAAAACATTTGCTAGACCAATACTCGAATACAGTTCATCAGTCTGGAACCCACATTACGTATCTGATATTAGCACAATTGAGAAAGTCCAGAAATATTTCACAAGAAGAGTTCTTCACTCCTCTATTCGTTGTAGAATACCTTATGCCACCAGACTTGAAATTCTAGAACTAGAAAACCTTGAATTACGCCGTCTTCGGTCTGATTTAAGCATGGTATATAAAATCATACATTGCAATGTCCTACCTGTCAGTGAATACTTCAGCTTCAACCATAACAACACAAGAGCACACAATAGATACAAACTCAAAGTTAACCGCACCAAACTTGATTGCAGGAAATACGACTTCAGCAATAGAGTGGTCAATGTCTGGAATACTCTACCCGACTCTGTAGTTTCTTCCCCAAACCCCAAAAACTTTAACCTTAGACTGTCTACTATTGACCTCACCCCTTTCCTAAGAGGTCTGTAGGGGGCGTGCATAAGCGCACCAACGTGCCTACCGTCCCTGTCCTATTGTTTCTCTTATTCTTCTTTTATTTTTCTTATATGTACCTATTTCATGTATTCACAACTATGTATACACTTATACTTATTATCTTGTAAACAATTGGCAAATCAAATCAATAAATAAAATAAATAAATAAATAAATATACGTAGCCAAACAGTCATTTGGGAATCTGATGATTTCAGAAATAAAATAGTTTGCTTCAGCTTGCTTTTAGCTGTTGTTTTTACAATGTCCTTCAGAGCACAGTGCCTTGTATTTATTGAAGTATGGATGTAATTTATCATGGCACATTAACAGACATAAATCACCTGAACTGATTAAGAACAAATTAGTCCCATTCTGTAATCTTACCATTGTATCATTTGAGAAATATCTCATTTGTAACCCTGTCTTTTTTATTGTGTGTATATCACAGCAGCATCGTATAATTTCCCACCAAACCAAAGGCAGCAAGATAAATTCGCATGTTCAAGTGTCACAGCACTAAAGGAATGGACTGGTTTTTATTTGGAGTTGCAGTATTTAGCTTTTCCTGCTGTTTTATTCCATCAAGCAGCTTTAAGAATTATGTGAATAATCTTTGGTCTGTTAGTGTTTTTTGTTTGTTTGTTTGTTTTTTGCCTTGAAATATCTGGCAGTAGTAACAGCAAAGTTAACAATTCTTCTTCCTGATCAGGTTGAAATGTAGTACAATTACTACACCATTGAATAATTGCACCCCCTTTTCAGCCTAATGCATTACTATAACCCTTATTTGTGTTATTTTATCTATCTGTTAATTATCTGTATGAGTGTGCATGCCCACATAATTTAGGCAGATGTGTTTTGGGGGAGAGTGATAAATAATGTCTTATTAAAGAACAAAATGTATCCCATAGCCTTTATATACGTTCTCCATTCAGAATTTTCAGTGTTACTTTACCTGCTTACGGTTGATACCATGATTGCGGTTGATGGCCGGACTGTGGCAGAGGTTTGGATTTCCATTCTCTATTTAGATGAGGAAATATATCTGAAAGGATGGCCCAGCAGGTCACAAGTTGTCTAGTTTATTATGAAAACTTCATTACAGGTATAGGCTCATTATCCTGAAAGTAATAGCTAAAATGTAGTTGTTTCTCATTGTTACAAATAATTTATATGCATTATCTTTTCATAGTCCTTACCATAGTGGCACACTAGAATGAACAAAACTAAAAAGGATGAAAAAAATTTTTTAAAATTTGCTGAAATCCAAATTATCATTGTTATGCTTTTATGCTTTTATTTTAAGAAAAAAGAAGATGCTTTGACTTTTAAATTTTGCTAGGAGAGGGGAAAATATTTGCTTTGAGAAATAGAAGTGACAGAACAATTTTAAGTTTAGGAATGATGGCAAAAGTGCTGAGTTACAGTTGCCTTTCCAAATAGATTCCTTCTAGGTGTGTTGGATGGTATAATGATACATGTATTATTTATTTGTTGGTTTATTTATTTATGTCAAGTCCTAATACATTTGTAGTAGATGTGGTTCAATCATCTAGGAGTATACACAAAAAATCAAGATGGCCATTGGCCATGATAGTGCCGTTGGAACTGTGTGTGTGAGAGAGAGAGGGGGAGAGGGAGAGGGAGGGAAGGAGGGAGAGAGAGAGATAATTTGCACAGAAAAATAGGTGGATCTTCAAACACATCATTGCAAACACAATCTTGACATTTTTAAACCATACCCTGTAGACATCCTTTGTTCTAGCAACCTATTTCCCAGCAGTAACCACTCAAGAACTTTTGAAAAACTCCTACCAAGGTTGACAAAAGAGCTCCTTTTTAGAGACATGCTGTTTCTGATTATGGCAGGTACTTTTTAATGGCATGATTGCAGCCTTTGGATAATCTAATCATTATGAAATTGTCTAATCCCGTTGTAAAGTCACTAAAGTCAGTAATTTGTACCTTTTTCATCAGCTGAGAATTCTTCACATTACTTAATTTTCTTTAATTGCTATCAAACTATTTCACTTGATTTAGGGTTACAAGGTTGTAGAAGAACATTATATGTCCATTTTCTCCCTCTTTGCCATGATCTTATTAATTTCTATCATGCCTCCCCTGCCATCACCATCACAGCTATCATTTCTCTGTATAAGTTAAGGAGCATTATCCTCTTAACATTTATATTAATATTTTGTTCCTTGCCCTTCTCCTGTAACAGTTTACTTGACAGCCCAAACCGTCTAGATGAAGAACACAAACTGATCGCCCGGTATGCAGCAAGACTGGCAGCAGAGACTACTTCATCAGTAAGTAATTTTAATTAAGGGGAAAGACGTTTCATTTAAATATATATATATATATTGAAATAAAAACCTTTGCCAAGACAGTCCTTGTAATTGCAGTCTGGCACATCTTACTCTAAAATTGGCTTTTCCCTTGGATATGCTTGTTTGCATCTAATGAACCTAAATATAGTTAAAGAAAAATTGGTACAAGCCCTCCCATTTGGCAACAAAGAATTGTCTCAGATAGTGGATAGCTGCAACCGTGGCAGTCTTTCGTGTATTCCTCCTGAAATATCTGTTTTCTTTTAGAAGTTAGAATTCTTCATGCTGTTGAACTAGTTCTGGGTATCCTGGAGTAACATCCTTCCAGTTGTATGGTTACTAAATTAATAAAACCCACTAGTATAGTATGCTTGAACAAACATATAAACTTCACATTTTCGTTTTCTGGTCGTGGAAAGTATTTAGGCCCTTCAGTGTCCTATAGCTGTAAGTTTTTAAGTGTTTAAGTTATGCTGTTTCATTATTCAGTGTTTTGTTGTTTCAGCATTGCTTTTCAAATTTTATTTTTGTCCTTAAAAGCAGGGTATGAATTTATATGTAAAATAAACAAATGACAATTATTAGTACCGATAACCAAATAAATAAGACCTAGCAAATTCTAAAGAGCAAAACAAATTGTCCTATTAGAAGTCTTCTGTGAGGTAGAAAAAAAAAATATCGCTTCTTGCTTTGCACACAGTCTTTGGTGTTGCTAAGGCTGGGCTTTTGAGACTATTTGTCTTTGCTTCTTTTTTCTTTCAAGACTTTGAGAGAGCTCAAGCTTCATTCACTTAATTTCTTTGTAGTATTAGAAAATAGACTTCTCATCTTAAAGAAAAAACAATTGGTAGCTTTGGGAGGTCCACTGATGCAGATGCAATTTCTAAGCATAAACTAAGAGATCTGGAGATTTGATATTACAGGGACAACAAAGGGAGAAGCTCACCCAACAATGTAGCCTCAGGGCAAAAGGGCCTTCAAGTAGCAGGTGGGCTTTTTTTTTCCATCCCTGTGTGTTTTGAAATTTCTCTAGTACATAATGAAGATACCTTAGAAAAATTATCTGTACTTTATTGTTAAAAGTTTGGAGTTGGTTTGGAAAGCCTTAGACTTCAGATAAAAAAGAACATTATGTAGTTATCCATACAATGTGCAGAATAAATTCTTGCCACAAACAAGTTATTGATTATATAGCAACTCATTGGAAAATAGAAATTATTGGATGGCATTAGGCAATGGATGATTGCCTAATGCTATAGTGAAATTTGTTGTCCAATTTCTAAAAACTTTCAAAGAGGCTTCTGATCATTCCCTCAGATTTAATTATTTCCCTTTATTTTTTGTGATATTTTTGAATCTTTTTGGGGTGGTAAAATGTGGATGTGGGTGTCTACTATGCACACCTGCATCATTGTGTATCTCATTTGCTTGTGCTTTCTTATTTGAAATATTATATATAAGGAGTTCCATTAAGATGCTGTTCCTTAAGATTTAACTTCAAGCCTAGAAAACCAAAGAAGAAGCTACAGATCACTGAACAGATTATAATACAAGGTACTCCTAAGGCAGTTGCCACAACTTTGTACCCCCTCTATGCAGTGGTGGGATTCAGACAGTTAGCACTGGTTCACCAGAACCGGTAACTAATTTTTGTTGAGTTTGGAGAACCAGTTATCCGCTTGAGCGGGGAAGACTGGCTGGCTATCCAGGCAGGGAGTAGGTCAGGCAGGGCCGGCTGGCTGAGGAGGGGGAATCATGGCTGCTCAGATGGCTCCTGCCACCGCCACCAGCTAGAGTGAAACAAATGAAGGCGCAGCAGATGCCTCATTTGCATTCACCATTTTGCTGCCTTATAAAACAAAAGACTCCTTCACACAGACTTAAGTTCAGATGTCTATGGAAATAGCTCACAATGTCTATGGAAACAGCCTAGTTCTGCCCTTACTCTAGATAGGTAAGATTTCTATTAAAATTTGCCAGTCCTTACAGTTACACTATAAATTAGATGCAAGGTTATTATCATTTATGTTACCATAGAGGTGAAATGAGATAAATTATATGTCAAATATATAAAAATCTCAGCTAAAATGAATTCTGAAACCAGAGACTTAGCTATGACATTATGCTTATGAGCAATATACTTAGGTATATTAAGGGACAAAACTACAGTTTTTTTCCTTTAAATAATATTCATTTACATATATATGTAGTAACATGTTCAATCTGTTTTACAGCAGCCGCAACAGCAACCACAACAAAGAGGCACTCCAGATATTTCATTTTCTATTGATGCAAATAAGCAACAACGACAGCTTATTGCAGAACTTGAAAATAAGAACAGGTAAAGTCCCAAAACCCACATTAAGCCAAATATATGTCTACGGATATTGCATATGTTTTATATGTATATTGCATATATAGTTGGTATCAAGGCAAAATTCACAACATTGCATATAAGGAAACTCACAGATACATTATGGGTGAACATCATACAGAAGAGTTTACTTCTTTTCTTTGCCATGTCATTATTACAGAGTTAGTATTTATTCATTTAAGATTCTTGTGACAGAAATCTGTCATCCCTTTTCTTCAGAAAACACATGATTTCATAAGAAGTGAGAGAAAGAAAGAAAATAGCAGGATTGAAGGAGAAATAATATGCTGATATTACAATATCACCAGTTTAATATAGTGGTTAAGGCACCAATTTAGAAACCATGAGATCTAGTGCCATGAGGCCAGCCACTTTTAACCTGTAATACTTAATCTTTCAGCCTTGTGAAGTGACTAGACAGAATTCTCAGCCATTCTAATGTGTGTGCTGGTGATTGAGAGCCCTAGTCCTGATCGATTTTTGTAGTGTTAGTCTTGGGCAGCAACTTCTTGAATTACATCTGTGGCAAATTTTTTAAGAGATACTGGATGGAGAGCAAAGGGTTGGTTGTCAGAAGAGCAACTTTAAATGTTTAAAAGTTTATCTGAGTGCTGTGATTTTCTCCCTAAAATCCAGAAGAGTATCTATAAATATCTCAAATTAGTTGACATTATTTGCAATGTTCTGTATTAAACAACTTTTCTCATAGAAAAAAAAACATACTTATCACTATTTTTTATTTTCTCTCTTCTTATGCCAGAGAAATCTTACAAGAGATTCACAGGCTGCGGCTTGAACATGAGCAGGCATCTCAGACCACCCCAGAAAAAGCAGCACAAAACCCTACACTCCTGGCAGAACTTCGCCTCTTGAGGTAAATATTCGAATGAGATGTGGTGAGGTAGATATGTCACATTTAGTGTAACACCTCTTGTCTTTTTTGTTTAAGTCTATGTAAGACTGTCCGTTTTGTGAAACAAATAATTACTGTGTCCATTTTTAAACTTACAAGAGAGAATATTCATTATTTAATATTCCAATGGAAGCACATATTCCTTTGTAGAGCAACTTTCTTTAACATTTTGAATACAAATAACAGTTATTCTTACTTTACCACCAAGGTTGAATAAAACCAGTTGCTCTGTTCGAAGAGCCAAAAGAAATAATGCATAATTTAACATCAAGTTTAAAATGGACATAGAGCCAGTGCAAGACTATACATTACAAATAAAACATTAGACTTAGGAGAACAAGTTTCAGGTCCGTGGTCACTGGATGGCTTTGCATCAAATCCATCTTGCAGAATTATTTTTGTGAAGATAAAATCAATGAAGACCTCCTAAGACACCCTATACTGTCAGAGAAATGGTAAAAGTAAAGCATGCTGACATGTTTATGAATAGAGGATTATTGCTGTTGTTCCCACCAGTTCCTGTCTCAGTTGGAAGATCCATCCACATAGGAAATCAAGTACAGCTTTTATATTCAGATTGTCATACACCTCAGTTGCAAATGCAGACTTTCTGCCTCATGTTTATGCACTGCTTTCATCTTCACTATTGTTTAGACAGAGGAAAGATGAGTTGGAGCAGAGGATGTCAGCTCTTCAGGAAAGCCGAAGAGAACTCATGGTTCAGTTAGAAGGCCTCATGAAACTACTCAAGGTAAAATGCACTATATTAAGCAAAATAGGTCTATAAAATTGCAAAAAAAGGAAGACAATACAATGTTATTATGGTATCATCGTTTTCATTCTATCCATTCTACAGATAGGCAGAGAGGTTTGTGGTCAGATGTGTTCCTCACTTGCTACAGCAATCATTTGCTTTTGTTCTCTAAATAAAACTCATATAATTGCCTTACCTTACTACTGACTTGCAGTTTGATTATTGTCATTAGTTTATTTGGTGGTGTTTTTCTGCAAATAAAGAATTACCTCCTTGCTCCTTGAAGATACCAAGTGCAGTTAAGAATCTAATTTATGTCTTTTGTCAATCTCTTCAGCACAAGTAGTCTGAAGAATGATTAATATAAAAGTATTAATGCTCCTGAGAAGAAAATAAGCTGCGGAGGTGGCTATGTGTAATTATTTGGAATTCTTGAAAATATAACATTTTAGACCTGGCCTAAACTGGCAAAAGCCTTCCTTGACTTACTAGAGATAAACTGTGAAGATGAGGAGGGTTTGATCCTGGTAGAATAGAATCACAGCAATTGTTCAAAGAAATGGCTATTAGCCAGTTTTCCTGCATCTTATATTCATTGTGTGTCTGAATGTTAAAATTTGGAATAAATTTTCTTTGGGAACTGAATTTTCAGAAATTATTTTTTTGAAAACATAAATGCTACTAGGGCATAAACACTGAATCTGAAAGACTGGTTCCGAAAGTAGTCAAACAGGTATTTGAAGAATGGAAATGTGCATCCATAAGACTTCAGACTAGTCTTCAGAGCTGCTTGCAAGGAATCAGCCCAGACTACTTCGCAGGAAAAAATCTGTCCCTTCCCTTGGAGTCTGCTAAATAAGAAATAAATTATTAAAGAGATGAAAAGTTAAAGAGGAATAATGGAGATTGATGAGGAAAAGGTACTGCCCCAAGGTAGTAGCTTTGTGTTATGCCCCAAGCATGCAACATCCAACTTTTCTCCCCTAAAGTATACGGCTGAAGAAAAAAAATCTTTACCAACAGGGCATGCAGGCATTGATACTATTTATTATTCTCTTTGGTTAATATTTATGTTGCCACCCTCTCAAAATTGTGAGAGTTGCACACTGTTGCTGGCAATAGCACTTATGTTTCGTTGCACTACAGTTCACTTCTCTTTTATCTTCTTCTCCAAAGTTAGATTCATCTAATTCATGATCATCCAATTTTTCTTTAGGAAGAAGAATTGAAGCAGGGAGTAAGTTATTTAGCCTGTCAATGTCACTAACATATAGAGAGTGTTCTTGTGATCCAAATGTGTGCTGTAAATCCACGAACATAAAATGTGTATACTGCTGTGTTCAACTAAACAACACTATCTTGCATGCCTTTAACCATTTATCTAAGGAATTAAGGTACTATATTCAATCATCTAATTGGGATGTCGCTAAAAATGTAAGAGATCTGCATGGCTTTCTATTGACTTAAAAGCACTTTGTCATTAAACAGTAATAACCCTATACAAACCATAGTAGCATATGAGTCTTATAGTGCAGGAATATTCAGGTTGCTGATAAATATACCTGGTGTGCCTGGTTTTATTTCTCCAAATAAATCACTTGTAATAACTTCTAATGAGGCAATAAGAGCTTTACAGAAACAGGAAAGTCCCATCTGATCTAATATTCAGTTCACATTCTTCTTTCCCAAGAACGCATGCAGGCTAATAATTCAAGAAAAATTTCAAACATAGATTCATAAAGGGTTTTTTTTCTGTTGAGACACAATTTGCATGCCCTTTGTAAATATATTAATATCAGCAAATAACTAACTCCATGCGTTTACTAAACTGTACTACAATAATTGGTCAAGAGGTACTGTGAGAGGTTTCCCAATTACAACAAAGCTGAACTTTGATTTTCCGTTCAGTGCAATTGAAGGCATACTCGCTCACTGACAAAAGACACAAGTCGAAGCACTGAGTCACTGTTATGTCAATATTTGCTCGTATTATATTTTGGCAAAATGTATTTTGGAAGTTAAAAAAACCCTTGCTAATGCTTAATATGACCAAAAAGTGTAAAATAATTGCATTGTTGAAGTTTTATGGAGTAAAAGAATTTGGAAAAATAGAATCAGCTTCATAAACATATGAAGTGTTAAGGCCAGTGTGATACTGTTTTACTTTCTTTAATGTATTCTGTTTAAGCATGCAGCAATAATTATAGACCATCTTGAAATCTACATTAATTTAAACACAGAATGATTCAATTGCTATGCTGAGGTGTTTTGCACTCCATAGTGTTTTCAAGTTCAAAAATTGTGTTCAAGGAACATGGGAAATTCCCTGACTCCCCCTTTCTTAATGACCTTGTATGTTTCAACTAGCAAGTCTAGTATCAACCCCATCATTGATATCTTAAGAGCAAGTTGTCCTTTAAGGTATAACTCCTGCCTATTGTGGATCATATCATGGTAATGAAATCACTTTATATAGATATAGTTATGAAGTAGTTGGCAACACTACTGTTTTTTATTTTCTTTGGTTTAAATTATCTATAACCTCTTTCCTAAAAATATCCAAGGAGCTAATCATAATAAACATCCAGCCAACCAGAAGATGTAGAACTGGAAGAAAAAGTATATAATACCGTATTACAGGAAGAATAAAGCTAACCCACTCTTTATTTCACATTGATCCATGTAAGAACAGCTGTTTAGCAAAATTTCACTATAACCTGCTCTGAGCACATCTTACATACAACTTTTGGTGGCAGAAATCAAATGGCAAATGAATGGCGTTCCATTTATATGCGCATTTCAATATTGTAGAGTTGCTTGTGTATATTTTACCCTCATAGCAGCTTTCTCTAATCTTGATTCTGCATGGGTTAACATTACATGTTTTAGCATTTTCCTCTAGGGACCATGATGATTGGGAAATCCGAATCCCTCCAAGACTGCAACTGCAGCATCACTTTCATAGACATGAAGCACATTCATTTCTTTAGCTGTTTCTAGTCAATTGCAATACAAAACTCTTCTCTCTATATATTTAAACCTGCCTCCCTGCAAGCACAAAAGTATGTGAAAAAATCAACAGTAAGAGGGTTTTATGTCAGTTACACGTGTTGTGATAAACATCTATTTTTATCCCTGTTTGCACACTCTTTTAGAGGACAAAAATTTATAACATTACAGAAGTTTTATATTATGTATCAATATATTATATGGTATATATAAATGATGTATAAAACATGGTATATAAATTGTGTATCAATGCATTTACATGGTATATGATATTATTATGTGTGAGTAATCTACAGTTAGATTCACACTGGTGGAAACTTAATAATTCAAGTCCGAACCAATGACCTAAGACAGGGCTGTCAAACTCATGGCCTTCAGGCCAGATGTGTCACATGCTGGACACACCCATGCCAGGTTTAGTGAAGGGGAAAAAAGTTATGATACGTCATGTGACAACGCTGTGATGACACAAGTTTGACACCCCTGATCTAAGAATTATTAAGGTAGCATCTAAGAATATGGACAGTTCCAAGCAGGGTGGAGTTTTTTGAGAAGTGCTCAATATTTCCATATATTGAGGAAGTCCTTTTAGTATAACTTTGAAGGCTCCAATCACGATTGATATAACAACAGATTTCTTCCATAATTATTCAACTTTGATCTGAAATTCCTAATATTTCATAATTTTTTTCAATTGTTTTTCCTCAATCCTAGCATTACCTAGAATAGCAACATTCGTGAACTAGACTTTCTTCTTTTTAGTACCTGTTGTATTAGGCTTGCTATGAACAAGATGTTTGTTTGTTTGGCTCTTAAAGTCTCATAAAATCTTAACCTGCTCATTGTCCAAAACCTTTTCAACTTGACGGCTCCGGAAATGTCTACTACATTAAAATCCAAATCTCTAGCAAAGTTTCCAGTGAATAATTCTAGCAATCCAGTCATGACATCACTTGTAGACTGTGAAATTTTGCTGCAGCAGTAATCAAATGGTCAATTGTTTGTTTCATCCTTTTTAATACAAAGGTGACATTTGCTATTGTTTGTTGCATATTCATGCAATTAATCTTTTTTAGCTCCTAAAATGAAGCCTTCAGTTTTTTTTCTTTAACATTCCTGATATTAATCAAATCCGTGTGGAATTTTTTTTATCAGCTTTTTCTTCTATATCTTTCAAGTGTTGGCCATTGTTCTTCCAATTAACAAATCATTTTTCAGATATTATGGTTCATTGCAGTCAACTATATAGATTGTGCAACAAACCATAATAATAATTAAAAAATGGTGTATTATTATTATTTCCTGTATTCATAAAATGATGTTCCCTAAGCATTTCAGAATTATTAAAAGTTTGTGTATTTTATTATTTTGTGCAGGTTACTGATTACAAAATTCTATATTATAAGTTATCCTAGGTTCCAGCAGAGGGAGCTATATACCAAGGACAAAAAAAGTTATTTTGTATTAAGAATGCCATACAATCAATCAATCAATCAATAAATGTGTTAAGAATGGGGGAACAGATTTTTTCTTAGTAAATGTAAACATGTCTGATTACATTGCCTATATATAATATGAATAAGGTACAGCAAGAAAATACAGTAAATATATCTGCATGATAAGGAAACAGGTAATCATTATGTGAATTTGATTAAACTAAATTAAAAAGGGTTAGGGGTTAGGGTTAGAAGGTAATGGCAATTTGTAGACTGGATTCTGACTTCTGTCCAAATATACCAGAACATTTCCCATCTGTTTGGAGTAGGATATCTGGAATATAACGTAGCTTGCTTTTTTGTTAGAGGTCATGAGACTCCAACCTTAATTTCCATTCCCACAAACATAAGGTATGGGACCATTGATGATATAGAAACACTCAGTTCCATGGAAAGTAATAAAAACATCCCTACGACAACTTTACTTCCTTTATCAGTTTTATTACTTTACCTCTAAGGTCTAACATAACATAATCCAAAGAATTCAATACCTCTTCTGTCATGACTCAACAGTGTGGTGTCCAACAGTTTTCTCCATTGCTGCTGCCAGGTAACTAAGGCAAAAGAAAAACATAATTTCTATTTGATTTGTCTTTTTGTTGTTGTTGTTTAACTTTCAGGCAATGGAAAAGGGAAACATCAAAAAGAAATACTTTTTTGCATTTCAGCTGGGACAATTTAAATTAATATGTCAGTGTGATCTTTAGGACTCTGGGCAAGTTCACCAATCCTTTTTCCCTATGTTTCTGATCATCTCCGTTTTAGTATATGTGGTTTTGGTTCTAGGAACTAATAATATATAGATCCATTCATTTTCCATCAGGATGGTAACGCTATCCAGCATTGGCATATTCTGATTCTTTTCTACAACAGAGAAATAATTGGAGAGGGTGGGACAGAAGTATCTTCTCTACTTCATCCTGAACCACTCATGGTTTCCTTTTCCCCCTAGACTCAAGGGGCAGGCTCTCCTCGCTCATCTCCCAGCCACACAATCAGTCGGCCAATTCCGATGCCTATCAGATCTGCATCTGCCAGCTCAACTCCAGCCCACACACCACAAGATTCTCTGACAGGGGTGGGAGGAGATGTGCAAGAAGCTTTTGCACAAGGTAATGGTGCAAACGGTCCTTCTGTTGAAAAATTGGTAATCCATAGCTTCTTTCCTCATTGCATTTCTATTAAAGCTCTCTGAAAACTTTCTTAAAATAATTAATCAAGTAATTCAAAGCTTATATTTGGGACAAGCAGCATCAGAGGACAATTAATGACAGACTAGAGCAGAAATGAAAAAAATAACAGTTTTTATTGCAGCATAATAAAATAATAGGAGAAAAAATTCTTCCAATCTAATGTCCGGCTTTCTAAATTATCTGCAATAGACACAGCATCTTTTATTGGCAAATGTACATAGAAATGCATTTTATTCTCAGACAATAGCAATTGTACTTATTTATAATGTGCTATTATAAACTGTGCTTTGTAGTTATTGTTCCTCATGCCAACTGTTCAACAGTCCGGAGGCTTCTACATTGGCTTCCAAGGTCCTATTACAATATGGGTCCAACTAGTTCAGAGGCCAAGCTGTTGGATATTATTTTCATGCTGTCTACGCCAGACAGTTATAATTTCATCATACATCCCTACAAAAATGCACGAGCATCCTAGAACTAAACACACAAACATCTTAGAACTAAAAACAGTTGGCTGATCACTGGTCATTTGATAAATAATTTCTCTTTAATTTTTCATAAAGAAGGCACAGAATTCAGATAGATTTTTTCTACAACTCAAATCTAACTTTCTCCCATCAGATGCTGCCCCTATATAGCAGTACTTATTTCTTGATACAGGAGCATTACTCCACTTACCTAAAAAAAGTTTGCCAGTTCAAAACTAATTAATCTTATTAAAACCAATCTATTCTGCAGAGGTCATAAAGAAATTAATACATGTGTAGTGCAGGTACTTGGAGTTTATGCTACTATAAAAACTACCTAAACACATTTTTAAAATTAATAAATTTTAAATTGTTTTCTTAATTGAGTTTTGTATCATTTATTATTTTGCCTTGTTAAATGTATACAAAAATCTCAAAACATTGCTAAAAATATTTTGCACTTTGCTTTTCTATTGATTAGGTACAAGAAGAAATTTAAGAAATGACTTGTTGGTAGCTGCTGATTCAATCACCAATACCATGTCTTCTCTCGTGAAAGAATTAAATTCAGGTCTGATGATTTAAAGCATAAGTGTTTCATATTGATTTAATATAGACTAAAGACGATCTGCAATCTAGAAAAATGTGCTGCAAAATATTTTAAGCTACTAGTTAACAGTTTGAACTACTGACTTACAGTCTTTTCAGGACAAGATTCCTTCTTTTTCCAGCATTTTATTTTGTGATATTTATTTATTTCCAGTGCTTTTTAAATACCTGGGATTTTTGTTAATTTTTATGGCTATTAAATAAGCGTTTGTTTGCCTTATTAAAAATTATATTTATGTAGAGTACAGCCTTGATACCTGTTGTAATGACAGATGCTACTGAAATGTTTCAAAAAAGTAAAGCTCACCGAAGATAATTGAACTAACTCAAATGAATTCAAATGCAGCAATGTGTCTTCTTGCTAAACAGAAAGTCAATGCTGTTTGGTTTCTTTATACAACAACACTGGCCAAGGGTTAATGCATCAGTATTATAATAACAGACAATCCAGTGATGTAACTAACTGTTAATACCTCGCTTAATAGCTTACCCAGTTATTAGCATATTCATTTTTTAATTTAGGAATACTGGGTACACTGAGTCACCCCACCTGACAAGTAAAAGCTTTACTTGTCTGTGTATGGGAAGTTGTAATAAATGGCAAGTTTCAACTGTACAAAAGTGAAAGTTGCTCTGCATGTTTTTTAATGTAAATGTGGTGTTTTTTCAGCAATATAAGATGGCTATATGCAGTATGCTAAAAATAAAAACAGGAGAGAAGCATGCTAGAAACAGGAGAGAAAGATATAATTATCATACCAACCTATTTCTTCATACAGAAGTTGGAAGTGAGACAGAAAGTAATGTGGATTCAGAGTTTGGTCGGACTCATTTTGATGATCTTGTTCCATCACCAACTTCTGAAAAGGCTTTCCTGGCACAAATCCATGCCCGGAAGCCAGGATATCTTCACAATGTAGCTGCTACTGGAACCATTCGCAGTGACCTGTGGGTACTCCATCCTGTTTTGCCTTCTCTTTGATTTCTGTCTTTTTCTTGTCTTCAGTAAGGCACTCAAAGCTTGAGAAATTAAGTTTCTATTTCATATTGGGATGCTTTTTAAACTAAAGATTTTGCCAAGGATAGCAATAAAGGGTGACTTATGAACTACAATATAAATCTCTAGTAAAATTTTGGTGAAAAAAAAAAACAATTTGCAATGCTTTTTATATTTGAACTCAGGATGAAAGTTGTTGATAATTAATATATACTAAACAACAGCCAAGTCTTTTTTAGGAAGATCATTTGAATCCTTTCAAAGGGGCATTTCAGAAAATATGCCAAAATTGGGTGCAGTTTTTTATTTCCTTTGAGAAGAGTGGACTGTTTTCTGCTGAAGATCAGGATACTGCTGTGATTTTAGGTTAGATACAGGAAATGGAACATTAAGACAGTATTTTTTTGTATTAGTCCTCCTTCATACATTTATGCCCCCAACAATTAATTTTAATAAATGATTTAAACATTTTAATGTAAGTAATAATCTAAAATATAATATATTTAATATATATTTTCTTACTGTTTTGGGTTTTTTTAAAATGGTACTCAAATGGATAGATGTGTGTGGGCATTTTAGGGTATGTTAGTTAGGCAATATCAGGAGATAAATTAAATATGGAAAGAGTGAAGAAGGGCTAAGGTTGCCCTGGCAATCACATTCTGGAAACATTGCAAATCAAGCAGGTACCATAAGTCAAAAAGATCAGTTTTTCTCAAGATAACAAACTTTACGATATGTGGACTTGGCTGGCTGGGGAATTCTGGAAGTTGAAGTCCACACATCTTTAAATTCCTCAGATTGAGAAACACCAATGTAAACTGAAATTGGACTGCATTCTTCTCTGATAACAATTGAATTTGTTCTACATGTTTCATGCCATTCTACTGAAAAGGAAAAATATTAAGAGGTGCTTTTACAGGATGTAAAAGCATATAATTCCCAGTTCCAGGCACCAAACATTCTGATATTCACCACAACATACCAAACTGGTAGTCTACCAGATAATTCATACTTTTCTGAAATACAGAGTTCTGCATATTACTATTATTATTTAATTGATGTATATGACCCATCTAAGCCATTCTGAGAGGGTCATAAAAAATAAAAACAACAGAATGTTAAAAAAGAATGTACAAACATATGAAAGCTACCTTAATCAGTATAAAATCACAATCAGCATCAGAATTCACTCTATGGGAACTCACAACAGCCACTGTAAGAGCTCCCTACTTCATCCCTGAATCTTCACAGTGCCCTGAATTTTCTACTACTTTCATTCTATTCTGATTTTCAAAAAGGACTTTCTAGGCAATCTGCTTTACAAAAGTTAAATTATGAAAAAAGGTACCGCATTTTTCTAAGCTCACATTCCACAAAATAAATGACTTGGTGTGGGCTGTATATTATGTCTGCCCACCACTACTTCTGCAAAGTTAGACTAAGATAAGATGGAACTTACTGCTTTCACATAGAAGTATCTGTGTACGAAGTAGGTCAGGCAGTAATTGCACAACCCTATTTATTAATAATTGTGTTTAGGGTTACAGAAGATGGAGATTCTTATGTTAGAGCTGATGATGAGAACTATGAAAATGATTCAGTCTGCCAACTAGAGAATGAACTCAAGATGGAGGAGTATTTGAAGCAGAAATTGCAAGATGAAGCATATCAGGTAAAAATAAGATAAGAACTCAACAAAAGTACATAGCTGAAAGAAATTTCACTACCCTAGATTTTATTTCTTTTGGAAGAATATAGTGATAAGAGTGTAGATTTCAAATAATAGTGAGATGCACTCATGTTTCTGTGAATAATCAGGAAGTACTTTTTGTACTGAAATTAATAGGCTGACATTAACCTTCACAAGCTGTTAGTTGGTGCATCACAAATTCTAGTAACGTGCTCTGTCAACAGTGTGCATCACAAAATAACTGAGAGTAGGTGGGTGTTCACACATGCATTCTTGGCATTTTTATACTGTGAAAGGAAGTAGTAATTTGCATGTGTGAATGAGCCATCAAGACTTAATCTCCAAAGGTAGAACTTTCATCTTATTTAAAATCTTCTTAAATACAGTGTCTTTTCTTCAGCAAAATAAATAATTTTAAATTAAAACGTTATCATCTACCATGCAAATAAGCAAAGGAGATTAGTCCAATTGTATGGCCCACTAAAGAAAGCTGCAACTAGTATACTTGATAGTAGTAGGAATCTTATTCTCTCTCAATGTGGGCAAAGACATTATCAAAAAAAAACCAGTGATCTAGTTCACAAAGTCCCTAGAAATTACATCAGATACTAATAATAGCATAACTTCTGACAGTGGTAAAACTGTAGAACATACAAGTCACTGATGCACAATTGTTTTGATGCAATTATACAACCTATTTCACAAATACATGAATAACAGCGTGTAATCAAGCTGCCAAATCTTTAGCTGCTACTAGCCATCATATTCACCAAGTTTTTCTCAAATCTTAGGATCTCATAAAGTATCAGCATAATATGAGGATCCAAGCAGCAATATTTTATTCTAGCAATTTTCTAGTATTTTAAAAATTTCTAGCAATTTAAAAAGATAGCAATCTCTGCCTGCCATTATTTTGGCATAATAGATATCAGGCTAAAGTCTAAGGTTCTTGGCATAGTTTGTTGAAATGTCACTTCTAACTAAACCAACAGATAATCTGCCTGCATTATGCTTATTTATTGGGAATATGGATTTTATGTACAAGAAATATTAAAGAGATCAAAGGACTAAATATAAGAAGGTGTTTTCTGTTTCACTATATGTAAGGAATACTGATTAATGAGCAAATTAACTCTATCTTAGGAAGCACTTTTAAATGCTGTTGAAAATTTGTAGTTTTAGGACCATTTGTACATGTCCTTTAAAAGAGTATATTGTAAAAGTTACAAATATAAATGAGAAATGATTGCCCATAACTGCCTAAAGTATTTAAAAATAAGAATTACCAGACAATCTTCTTTCTCTTTTTTTGTTGGGCCTTGTAGCAAATGCCATTTTCTTTCAAAAGAACAAATTGGATCTTCATCCTTTCTAGCATTTTCTGCAGCAACAACCTTCTCACAGTTTCTTCTTGCATGCTAACCTCTTCATTTGGTGTGAGCTATTCTTGCATGTCCATATGAAACCTCTCACTCCTCTTGAGTCCCATTTTCTATAGAACGGTGCACTGATCTGGCTGCTCACATTTTCTGTTTTCACTTTCTTTTTTACAGGTCAGCTTACAAGGATGAGTAACTTATCCTTGTATCACTCTCCTCTCAAGTAAGTTTTAAGTTAGTTTAAAACTGATATCAATCAGTTTCATTCAGCAATTATGCTGATTGGAATGCAGGGTTGGGGGGGAGGACACATTTTCCCTTCACCAATATATTATAATATACTGTAATCATTTTGCAATACTGTAACTATTTTGCAATTCTAACTGTAATTGTCAAATGAGAATAAGTTCCTATTATGTAGCAGTGGAAAAGCTATTGAAAGGATTATAGGCTATGTGGTTTGTTTTTATGGGCCTGTTAATGGGCCAAGTATGCTACTTGGTAGAATGAATACCACCTTTGGAAAGAATGATATGAAACATAACTTCTCAAACTAGATTTAATGATTTAGATTATAAATCTGCTTTCTGGATGCAAATGAGTTGCATATGGGTTATCATGTATCATAATTAGTGTCTACATGTTTCAAAGCCGAGTCGGTCAGATGTTTAGACTGGATTTGGCATTTTTATCTACCTATCAAGTCCTTTCCAAAGATCTGGGATAGGTAGATGTTGTTTGATGGTGCTAAATGTACCGTTGCGAGGTGTAAGCTGTTCCAAGCAAATAGCATTTTGCAATTGATGGATCATGATTTTGTCAGTGTCAATGATATTCAAAGGTTTCTAATTTGTTTTAAGCCACTCGTGTTAAAAATTATGAAGTGCAACCTAAGAAGTTAGTCATTCAAAGGATTACAGATGAAAATGCTTTTGGCAGAGTTTGTTAAAAAAAAAACAATGAGTAATTTTGAATATTAATACTTTATTTTACATTAATACAGAAGGTTGAATTGTAGTATTCTAGTCCTTTTTTAAATGCTGTGGAAGAGCCTTCAGTGCAAGTGTAAGATTATTTAAAAAATACTTAATCTCACATAATTGAACTATAATTATTTTTCAGATTCTACTAAGTTAATATAGTTTTTAAAGGCCAGAATTATCTTGATACATACAATCTAGATACAAGCAGATTTTCATTTTCATATAGATCAATAGAAGTTATCTGCAATTATTTAATACTAATATTGCTGAATCATTACCATACTGAATTATATTAGTAGACAGAGCTTTAATTCTCTTTTTTGTAAGCACTAGAAATAGCAACTCCTGCTTTATTTTTTTAGATGAATATCAGGCTGGAAACATTATCAATATGCAAGACCTTCAGAATACATGTCTAATCTGGTTTGCCAATCCAAATTATCTGGCCTCAAACAAAATATTTCTTCATCTGGAACTCTGTCCAGAATGTCAAAGTGGGTGAAGATGTAGGAAAGCTAAGAAAGAGCCATTTCTAAATGCATCTGCTAACTTCATGGCAGCTTTTTCCCAGTAGCTATTTATCATATGGAGTGAGCTTCAATTTTGTTTCTGTCCAAAATTATATCGCCAAGCCACACAAGATACATATTCTTGTTCCCATCCCTTTTTTTAGAAGCTAATAAATTTTTTATATTTTTATTAATAATGCTTGGAGTTTTTTCATGTAAAAAATATCAACAACCTGATATTTTCCAGGTATGTTACTAACATTACCCCATATTTTTCAACCAGCATGTACTGGAAGTGGTTCTGTAATCTAGTACTATAATATTGAAGAAGGCTAATTTCCAGGATTTAAATTCTAAAGCCACAATTATGTTTCTAGATGGATAATATGACTTTTGTCCTATTATAACTTTTCCATCTTCCCATGGCTTTCAACTTTTATCGATCATAATATTTATGGAGTAACTTTTTCAGATGGAACTCCTTTTGGGGCCTAAGTTTAATTCATGACATGATGCATCTTTTCTCAAATGACGTCCTTCCTAAACAAAGAAAACCTAGTTACCATAATCTCTATGTATTGTCAACATTCTATTACCATTCATTGTTTGTGGATATCTTTTAAAGAATCGGGAAATGTTGCCAAAAATGTGCATGTGCTCTATATGCTGTACATATGTGTAGTAGAATAGAGTATTACTTTAGAACAGATAGATTTTTGTTCACTTGCTAATAGATATGAATGGATATTTTGCTTTGATGATATAGAGCTATTTTGGGATAAGAATTAAAGACATGAGATGAGAAATTAGGAGACCATTTTAATCCTGTTGTAAATACAAAGCCAGCTGGTTAATTTTGGATCAGTTACTCTCTCTCAGTGCTAAAAAGAAGATAATGGCAAACCACTTCTGAAAAATTCTGCTAAGAAAAATGCACAGATCAGAACTCAAGATACACTCACAGCACACATACACACAAAAGTTTAATTATAATATTATTCAGGTATTATATGAATTGGAATAGTCTTTTTAGTAACTCTGCTCTCCTACCAATCATGCTTTACTGTGCATTCAGAATAGAAAATCTGCACCTATCCTGAAAGCTAGCATATGCAGAGCTGAAATTGTAAGAGTAAAGAGCAAAATAAAATGTGACTAAGACAAATCGAATCATGTGTCTACAGGTAGGTAGCCTAATCCAAGTAACAGTGAGGGGTGGGCTTATCAGGAGTATTCACACGGTGAGTATTCCACATTTGTACACTGCCTACATAGGGCTGGTGTGTTTCTATGAAATGTGATAAATAGTATTAAAACATTTCTTGACAGGAAAGCTGCAGTCAAATGAATAATGAAAGTGATGTAAGAATTGAGGAGGGGGAAGAGAAGGAGGAAGAGGAAGAAGAAGAAGAGGACAACACTCCGACTAATGACAAAGATAGCCTAGCTGCCAGCTTCAACAAAGAAGTGAAAAATCAAGTGCAGCCTCTCTAACCAACTAGGTCTCCAGACTGTAGCACAATTATTTTGTTTGCCAAGTTCTAGTTTGTAGGTGTTTTATTTTTGAAGATTAAAAAAACATGTTTTTTTTAAAAGCTAAATTATATCAACTACATCGTATGTAACATGGCTTATTATTGATGAAGAACACTGGCTGTACTAACAAAATAGAAACCCTTTGCACATACTTTTAAACCTGTTCAGTTTACAATGACAGTACTGTTTATATTAGGAGTTTGATTTCCGAATAATTTGAGGTTTTAGAACACTTTCCTACACACTGTACATTGTTTTTCCATGGAGGGACTTTTAAAAATATATTGATGCATTTATCGTTGAATAAATATACTCCTGTGTGTACATATTTATAGCCCAAAAATGAACTATAGTTGCAATACTGAACCCAACCACACTTGCAGAATTCTCACAGATATTACTAGGAATTGCACACATGTTGATATTACAATATTGCATCTTTGGATAGCAATTTGTTTTTAATATTTCTGCAAAATAAATAAATGAAAATTTAAAAACAAACTTGTACAAAATGCACTAAGAAGTATCTCTATGACTTAGGGCTACTGCATAACTTAACGAATGTTTTCTTTCAAAATATAATCTTAACAAATCAGCCATAGAAGTTAGTGTAAATATTTTCTTTCCAAATAGAAATCATATACAAAAAACAACATTCAAATTATATAGAATCTAGTTTTTAAAATCAATACAGATCTTCTTAAAACTGTGAATTATGTTTTGAAATACTCGTTACTAAAGCTGTTTATAAACCACAGGTGCCATAAAATCCCTAAACTAATTGTATAATCTTCATTGAATTATTTTGTTGCAGTTTTACCACTTTCTTTCACATTATCTCCATCTTTCATATCTTGTTGGTTGAGGCCTTCAGCTTTAAATGTACAGGCTTTAAAAGATTGCTTGCAATTACTTCTTTTCTTATTTTTGAATGTGCATTGCCTTAGTCAGCCACCTGTTATTTTGTGTGCATTCTTGGAAATGGGCCAGGACTATCTGCAGGGTATTGTGAAAAAATCAAGATGGCCACCATGCACATCTTGCAAGGTACATAAACATCACATTATCATGGCTGCCATCTTGCCTTTTTTTAATCTTACCTTCTGGACACTCCTGGAATGAGTAGAGAGACTTTCTTCAGGGGACAAATGGGGTAATCTGCTAAATATGAAAAGCACATGGCGGGAGGTGTGTCCTTTCTAAAAAGAAAAAAATAATACATTATGTAATTACAGCAGTATCTCTTTTGAATAAATACTATTTAAAAAATAATAGAGAGGAGACTGCTCCCCTGAGGATTATATATGGAAAAGATACTTTGCAAATCTTATTTTCCCTATACAGTAAATTAGTTACAAGCAAATTTTAGCCCCGAGGAAAACAGCAAATGATTTAGAAATTGTTGTGTTTAGGGCAATATTTTATTAATGATGCAACTTAACATTAAGTATGAATTTAAAAAAGCTCAAATATGTAAATCCAAAGTTATTGTTAAAAGAATAATAACTCCTTAAACTTGCTTATATATTGTATTGTCCAAATTAAAAACTGAATTTTTCTGTTGTTTCTACAAGGGACAGGCTTCAGATCAGAGATTTATGGATTAAATAACTCTAGCAATTTTCTCACTCATGCTTAAAATAATTGCTATTCCTGGCATCTTCCTTCTTGTGTCTTTCTCAACATTGTCTCTATGGAGTCAAATCACAGAATTTAGAGAACTGCAGAAAATAATTAAAAAAAAAAGTTTACATAGAGACACCCCAGAAACCCCACCTGTGCAATAATTACTCTTTACTCCTGTAGTGTCTACCATCTTCACATGGTGGATACATAACTTTTGACAACTTACCTCTCCTATGCCCTTCTCTCAGGAACTGGTTACTCTCTATTAGTGCCTAGCACACATCAGTTAATAATAGACAGTATATTGGCAATTCTTGCTGACAGCTCAGGACTCCAGCCAAGTATTTCTAAAAGAGAAGCAAAATTTCATTAAAAAGATCTAAATCCAGCTAGATACCTACAGTTAGAGTAGTGATTGTGTTTCTCTGATATAGTGCTTAATTTACACTCCCACATTGCATGTAAAGCTCATACAAGAGTCTAAACTTTGGAAAATCTGTGCAACACTTATTGTCATCACAACATATGTACCATTCTCTCAGTCTGTTTTCAGCATAGATTCCCCAAAGCAGAGCTCTAGGTGGCCTCTTATACTCTGGAAGTCCAAGTTAAAGCACTTTTCCATTTGCCTCCAAAACCAAAATCTAAATTTGTACATCAACCAGTGTTAAGCTGACAGTGGCTCAGTATGGACAATACTTTCTCCTGATTTCTATCCAGCATGTGGGAATCAAAACTATCGTCATCTAACACAGCAACTCAACCTCCTGGGTCATTAGCCAATGTGTGAGTATAAAATTTGAATAAAGATATGCTTGCATAAAACTTCACTAACAAAGGCCTTAATGAGATCACCTGTTTCTGTATTTTGTCTGGGATGTCATAAGACCTAACGGAATGAGATATTATGTGGATGTCCTTATCAGATGTACATCAACTTGCATGCCCAAGGAATCCAGGCCCAAAGCTAGTGTTACAGACATACGTTTCCATGCACAATGAAACAAGCCTGTAGAGGAAGTTGAGTGAGAGTTTTGTCCCAAATGTGCCAATGTTTTAGCCCATACAGTCTTTGTTTGCTAAACATGTTTGGATGGCGAACCTCAAAGTTGCTGGAATGGTTGAAATAGCCATTTATCATTTTTCATGGCTAATTACTATAGCCCAAAACTCTTTGTGGATTGTTAATGGAAAGATCATTAAGAGGCAGGAATTAGAATGTGAAGATAGCAGGTTTCTTGAATGTTGAAAGAAAAGAGAGGATAGAATCTCTGTAAGTAGTAATGTTAACTTTAAAACTGCATTAAAAGGTGTGTGGCCTTTGTTGTGATAATATGTATTTTCTTATATGCATGAGACAAAATGTTGCATCATTATTTAGCACAGATGTCTGCCTTTTACTTTAGCCACTTTCCTCCATTCTTATAAGTTCTTTGGAATTGCTGTAGATATATCTTGTAAATACCACAACTGCAGGTTGCAGCTGTTAGGTTGGTTCAATTCAGTGCCAGAACTTTGAATGACAAGACAGAAATTTATTTGTGAACCAAAAAATATGAAGAATTACATCTTGTAGCTACTAACTGTCTGATGTTTTTAACTACTGTTATTTTACACCAATCTAGACACACTGCAAATTTTACATTATGCATTGGTATTGTAAACAGGACTATTATTGTATGGGGTTTTTTTGTATTGCTGTTAAGTATTGTTTTGTGTGTGTGCGTGTGTGTGTGTTAAGCCTATTGGGGACATATTTTGAAGTGATTAAACTATTTAATTGTGTGTCTATATTTTGGAATGGAATTATTTCTTCATTAAAAAACAATTTTTAAAAGTAATTCTTGAAGTCTCCCTTCTTGTTGTTTACACTGAATCCAACATACATTTTCCCCTATTCCAGCAGAATTATTCCTTACATTTGTTAAGAAAAAGGGATATGAAGGTACATATGTGTCTTAATAATAATATCTAAGACTGCTAACATCAGAATGACACGATTATCACAAAAAGTATGGTCACCAGCAATAGTATTGACAGATGTAATGAGCTTGTAATGAACAGTATTGATAGATGTAATGGTCAGACTGAAAAAGCCTATTAGAACTGAAACATTTACAGATGAATTAATAAACAGGGAAATCTATAATTTGAATATCATGATGAAAAAAAGATCTACTATTAAAAGATCAGCATGGGTGGCTTATGGTGGTGAGGAGGAGAGTCTTGGATTTCTTACAGATTAAGAGGAGTAAAGAATTATAAATTTCAAATTTGTTAGCATAAAATTACCAGTTTTTTCCCCACAACATTTTTATGGTCAGCGTTCAAATTCACAAGTGATTTTGCTCCTAATTCTTCAGGATCAAATTTGGAGGAGACACGTAATGCTACTAAGATTCTTTTCAGAAGTGTGGAATTAATAGCCTCCCAGATGATATTAAATGACAATTTTAGCACCTAGCCAGCATAGCCAATGGGAAGAGATGCAGCAATTGTACTTCAGCTATATATTAGCCAGTTGGTTATATAATCTTTTACTTTCTTTAAATTTTAAATTGAATTTTATTTGAAAGATATTACTGGTTTTGATAAGAAAAAACTATTTTTCATTTTTCATTTAAAAATGTGTACTTGCACACATTCAGTCATGCAGGATAGAGGTCATAACATCTGATAGAATAAGCTCTGTTTTGTCAAACTATATGCTGTGATGCATGTCGTATTCATAAAAGACATATCCATCCTGTTTTTGCAATCATTATTGGATTAAATGGACTATGAATCTCATCTGATAATGATCCTGGTATGTTTGGAATTCTTATCAAGATACTATAGTAAAAAAAAATAATCCTGCCCCAATGGGTGATTTGCAAAATAGATGATATTCCTCCTCCTCAGAATGGTTTTAAATGGCTTGTTGGATAATTGAGGTGTCAGATCTTGTATTTGTCTCCACGTCAAGTAGATTTCTTCACTCTGCAACTTTTGTTTCACCATCTTTTAGATAAGAGATAGCAGGCATTTCTCCCTGCCTGTTGGTTAAATAGCTAGTTACTTTTGTATTGCCACTTTCTTCAACTCGTGACTTCAGGCTTGGACAACAAGCCAGTTGATCAATTCCTGTCACAACTAGCGGATCAATGCCTGGTTGATGTAAAAAAAAAAAAAAAAGCAAATTCTTGAATTTGCAGGAAAACACTAGGTTGAAAAAAAAAATCTTGCTGCATACTGAAAAATGTTTAACATTTTCCTGATTGTGATAATTGCAGGCATGCTCTATAGTACGCTTTTAATTTATTCATTGCTATCAAGTTTTAAAAAACCTTGCTCATGGCCTAGGTTCAAGCTTAAGTGTTTGAATGAGATGCAGAGGCATAAGCAGCAGCAGATTTTATAGTCATATGGTTACAATAAACATGCAACTCAGAGGAATTAATAGAATTGAAACAATTGCAGACAATTAAATAAATTCAGCCAAATTGTAGAATAAATATATTTTTGACTGAAATCTAGATGAATGTCTGGGGCTTAAGAAAAAGATAACTATTAAGATAACTAGAGCAATCTGAAAGTGCTCAATGTTTTTCTTGCTTTTGATCTTTGCTTTTACTACTCTTTCTATACTTTGCTAGTCAACACTGTGGTATTAGACTTAAGTGTTTTCTTCAATATAGAGTAGAAAGGATATTGACAGTAGCT